AGTGCAGCTCGCGCAGCAGCGGTGTTACATGGGAGCGACGAGTCCCTCCCAACACCGCCCGCGCGGCTGCATTCTGGACCAGTTGGAGCCTCCGGGTGCTCCTCAAGGGGAGCCCCATGTAGAGAGCATTACAGTAGTCCAGGCGGGAGGTGACGAGGGCATGAGTGACTGTGCGCAGGGCGTCCCGGTCCAGAAAAGGCCGCAACTGGTGAATCAGGCGTACCTGATAAAACGCCCCCCTGGTCACGGCCAACAACTGGTCTTCCAGCGTCAGCCGCGAATCCAGGAGGACCCCCAGGTTGCGCACCCTCTCCGAGGGGGCCAGAATTTCGCCCCCTATAGTCAGCGATGGAGTCAGCTGACTATGCCGCGGCGCCGGCAGCCACAGCCACTCGGTCTTGGAAGGGTTGAGCCTGAGTCTGTTCCTCCCCATCCAGACCCTTACGGCCTCCAGGCAACGGGTCATCACGTCAAGGGCATCGTTGTGGTGGCCTGGGGTGGAGATGTACAGCTGAGTATCATCAGCGTACTGATGGAAATCCACCCCAAAGCTTGCCCGGAAAACTGAATGCACACTAACTATACATTAAAAGTGGAGGATGATTTCATTTTTGGCCCTTGGGTTTAGTCAGGAAGAAGAGACCACTTGTTTTGTCTCCTTTTGATAATCAGAAGTATCTTATTTTCTCTTCAGGTTTTTTTGGCAGGTGTCCCAAATTGTACTCATCTTTCTTTTAAAAACATTGAAATTTTACACTTGAATGATCGCACAAATCTTGGTCTAACCTCACTAGCTCTTAGTAAGTAGGGTCTTCCACCATTTTGTTGACTTGAAAAACAAGAAGGACTGGATTGCCAACCCCATGCAGGGCATGCTGTATCATGTTGTGTTTGATAATGACTATTTCTTGCTGTTAATCTTCCTCTGGATTTGTCTCATAAACATTTGGGAGATCCTGTGCTTTGCGTGACAAGCGATTGCTTAATTCCCCCCCCTTCCAGATGGAGAAGAGCCAGAGAAGCCAATTCATGCTACTTTGAAAAATGGACACACCATTCCCATTGACTATTCTGGAATTGTCAATCTTGCACACTTGGAGGAAGAAACTGGAAAGAGATTGAGCCTTAAGAAGTCCAGTCCCCCTGAAGAGCCAAAGAAATTGCAGGGTGAGAAATTAAGAAGTTGTGTGTGTGTGTGTGAGAGAGAGAGTGTAAGTGTGAATGGAGGAAATTGTCCCAGACATAAATGTTGTTATCTATCACTTCTTAATTGTGAATATAACAAGTTTTGGGTCTTGTTTCTGAGGCACTCCCATCTACAAGCTGTTATCATAAAAGGCCTGGCCCTACCCAGTTTATCTTTTCCCATCTTACCAATTACCAACCTTGATGTCTCTTTCTGCCCACGCGTTGCAAGTGAATGCCAGCCTTGGAGTTTGGGAAATGACACATACTTTCGTTTAGATTGGAGAAATAAATTAATTCCCTAGGCTCTCCAGACATGTTCCCCTCCCCTCTCCTCCGTCTTTCAATGGCAGGGCCCTGGTTTAATGCAGCCATTCTCTTCTCTGGGGCACTAGTGGAAGATAGAATTTCTAGACTTTCCAGCTATCATACTGTCAGCCTTTGGAAGTAGTCCAGATAACCAGGTGTACTAACACTATATTTATTATAAGATTCCAGTAACAGAATCTTGCACGTCTTTATTTTTACATTCAAGAAAACTAAGGAGGATCCCTTCTGAGATGCTTCCCACACCCTTTTTCTATACCTTTTGCATGATGACTGTCTTGACGGGGGCTCCTGTTTATTAAGCTCATTCCCACATACCGTATATACTCGAGTATAGGTCGACCCGAATATAAGCCGAGGGACCGATTTTCCCACAAAGAACTGGGAAAAATTGGTGACCCGCTTATAAGCCGAGGGGGCATTTTGGCTGTTCCTCCCTGGCCGTCTCGGCCTCCCTAGCCCTGTCGGTGAGCGCCCATCAGGGCACAGCGTCGCCAGGCCTCCCCCCTTCGCGCAAGGCGTCTGGCGTTCCCCCTCGCGCTTGGCTGCGGTGGCCCGGGGTATTCCGTCCCGGCCTCGACACGCAGCGCCGCAGGGAACGGAAGGTAAGGGGGGAGGGCCGTACCTGGAGCATCACAGGCCGGGGCGACGCCGGGAACGAGCTGGGCGGCCGCGGTGGCGGCGGGAACGAGCCGGGCGGCTGCGGCGGCGGCAGGAACACGCTGGGCGGTGGTGGCGGCGGCGGCGGGAACGAGCCGAGTGGCTGCAGCGG